CGATAGTCAAATTTTGGACCCATTTTCATGTTAGTTATTTCTTATTTTCCGATGACTTGTTTAATGATGACCCAAGATTGGACATCGAAAGTCCATAACTTTGCCAAACTTAAGCCGATTCCAAAGTGGCATACCTCTAAAGACTCGTAATTGGATTCTCTAAAAATCTGCATTCAAAATTTTCAATTTAACGATAGTCAAATTTTGGACCCATTTTCATGTTAGTTATTTCTTATTTTCCGATGACTTGTTTAATGATGACCCAAATTTGGACATCGAAAGTCCATAACTTTGCCAAACTTAAGCCGAATTCAAAGTGGCATACCTCTATAGACTCGTAATTGGATTCTCTAAAAATCTGCATTAAAAATTTTCAATTTAACAATAGTCAAATGTTTGACCCATTTTCATGTTAGTTATTTCTTATTTTCCGATGACTTGTTTAACGTTGACCCAAAATTGGACATCGAAAGTTCATAACTATGCCAAACTTAAGCCGATTCCAAAGTGGCATACCTCTAAAGACTCGTAATTGGATTCTCTAAAAATCTGCATTCAAAATTTTCAATTTAACGATAGACAAATTTTTGACCCATTTTTATGTTAGTTATTTCTTATTTTCCGATGACTTGTTTAATGATGACCCAAGATTGGACATCGAAAGTCCATAACTTTGCCAAACTTAAGCCGATTCCAAAGTGGCATACCTCTAAAGACTCGTAATTGGATTCTCTAAAAATCTGCATTCAAAATTTTCAATTTAACGATAGTCAAATTTTGGACCCATTTTCATGTTAGTTATTTCTTATTTTCCGATGACTTGTTTAATGATGACCCAAGATTGGACATCGAAAGTCCATAACTTTGCCAAACTTAAGCCGATTCCAAAGTGGCATACCTCTAAAGACTCGTAATTGGATTCTCTAAAAATCTGCATTCAAAATTTTCAATTTAACGATGATCAAATTTTGGACCCATTTTCATGTTAGTTATTTCTTATTTTCCGATGACTTGTTTAATGATGACCCAAAATTGGACATCGAAAGTCCATAACTTTGCCAAACTAGAATCGATTCCAAAGTGGCATACCTCTAAAGACTCGTAATTGGATTCTCTAAAAATCTGCATTAAAAATGTTCAATTTAACGATAGTCAAATTTTTGACCCATTTTCATGTTAGTTATTTCTTATTTTCCGATGACTTGTTTAATGATGACCCAAAATTGGACATCGAAAGTCCATAACTTTGCCAAACTTAAGCCGATCCCAAAGTGGCATACCTCTAAAGACTCGTAATTGGGTTCTCTAAAAATCTGCTTTCAAAATTTTCATTTTTACGTTAGTCAAATTTTTGACCCATTTTCATGTTAGTTATTTCTTATTTTCCGATGACTTGTTTAACGTTGACCCAAAATTGGACATCGAAAGTCCATAACTTTGCCAAACTTAAGCCGATTCCAAAGTGGCATACCTCTAAAGACTCGTAATTGGATTCTCTAAAAATCTGCATTCAAAATTTTCAATTTAACGATAGTCAAATTTTGGACCCATTTTCATGTTAGTTATTTCTTATTTTCCGATGACTTGTTTAATGATGACCCAAAATTGGACATCGAAAGTCCATAACTTTGCCAAACTTAAGCCGATCCCAAAGTGGCATACCTCTAAAGACTCGTAATTGGGTTCTCTAAAAATCTGCTTTCAAAATTTTCATTTTTACGTTAGTCAAATTTTTGACCCATTTTCATGTTAGTTTTTTCTAAGTTTCCGCTGGCTTGTAAAAAGGTTACTTCCAATTGGACTTCGAGAGTCTATAACTTTACCAAATTTTATCCGATTTCAAAGTGGCATACCTCTTAAGACTTGTGATTTGATTCATTAAAAATCTGCGTTCAAATTTGTATACCCTTGCAGAGGGTATTATAATTTTGGTCAAAAGTGTGCAACGGAGTGAAGGAGACATCTCCGACCCTATAAAGTATATATATTCTTGATCAGGATCACCTCCTGAGTTGATATAGCCATGTCCGTCTGTCCGTCTGTCTGTTTCTACGCAAACTAGTCTCTCAGTTTTAAAGCTATCGAATTGAAACTTTGCACACACCCTTCTTTCCTTTGCACGCAGTATATATGTATGTCGAAACGGCCGGAATCGGCCGACTATATCCTATAGCTGCCATATAACTGATTGATCGGAAATGCCATAAATTTGGTGTTTGTAAAGTTAGGAAGTTGTGATTTTTTATGAGTATTAAGAAAGCATCATATAAATAATTTTGGAGAATATAATTTACAGAGTATTCTGCAAGGGTATATCAACTTCGGCTCCGCCCGAAGTTAGCTTTCCTTTCTTTTTCTTTCCTTCTCTATTACCCTTTTCTTTATTTTCGAAAAAAAGCTTTGCAGAAAAGTGAGCTAAATCCTGCACTTCCAAGCCCGTAACTTTTCTTACAGACATCGGAATTCAAAGCGGGAAACTTATAAATGATTGTGGTTCAATTCTCCAAAAATCTGTGTCTTCAGCTTGCTTTGTATTTTGGGGTCGATTTTTCATACTTTTTTATGATGTTGCCCCTTTCCAAATTTTCAAAAAATGGCTTTGCAGAAAAGTGAGCTAAAACCAAGCCCGAACTTTAAGTGGCATACTTCTTGGTTTTTATTTTGGTATCGAAAGGTGTCTTATAACGTGCATTTCCAGCCCATACTTTTTCTGTCATACATCCGATTTCAAAGTGCTACTTAAAAATGATTGCGGTTTAATTCTTTTAAGATGTGTTGTCACAATATTATCACATGACAAACAACTATTTCAAATTACCTTATAAAAGAGCTACAGTTCCTATGCTTAAAGAAACGCATTTCCTTGCCACAAAAGAAGTTATTTAGAGGAGAAAAGTTATAGCGAATTTTGATCAAAAACAAGCTAAGAATATTTATGTTTTATCAAAACAAACAGATAATAAAGTTTATACCATGTTAATCGTTTTCTTGTGTTTTTTCTTTACAATAATGAGGCCTTGTTTTTATAGCTGCGATGATTCCGAATCCGACGTATGTTCTACCAAGTTACGTTTTGAGAAAGTAAATCTAAATGAAAAGATAATAATATGTATTTTGTATTATTTTTGAAACTCAATAACAGGTAAAGGATTATGGGTTTCGAAAATCTTTTATAAATATTGCAACTATTAGGCTTTCAAACATTTCTTTCCATACAATTTTAAGAATTTTAAAGCAGAATTATTAAAAAAAATAATATAACTAACTAATATCCAACACAATATCCAATAATCGCACAATAGTCGCACTTATCATTTAATATCATCGCATTAAAAAGAAAAATTTGTTAATGAAAACTATTTGAATCGCTGCACTATTGGGTAAATGAGCACTTTATCTGGCATATAGGCATTTTTCAAAAAGGTTCCAATTGGAATAAAATTAGTGTCAACGTATTAAGAAAACATAACACTATTATGCCTCAAACTCAAAATGTTAATATTTAACTATTTAAATGTTATCATAACAGCTGTTGCCAAGTTTTCATAATATTTTGCTGTGGTCTTTGATTTTTATTTGTTCACATACAACTCAAAATACGAACGCACCAACTCTTAAATATGGATTTCCCAGGCTTGGACTATATGTTAAATATGATTAATTGTTTAAATTAAGCGTGTTTATACAAATTTCAACTTTGGATAGGATTTTGGAAAGGAGTTTTGCATTATTTTGAAGTACGTCCAAGTGTATGTTGTAGCGTTGTCAATTCTGAATGCATAGCAGTTAGTCTTAATCTGCACTTTTCCGCACTATTGGTGGAAATGTAATTTTTCCAGGTAGCCTCACTTTTTCTAACATGGATTTTTTCGCTGTATGGAATAGGCAATACAATGCTTTTTCGAACTTTTTCCACAACAATGTGGACAATGCAATTTTAAAAGAAACAAGAAAGGATATTAAGAAACAAGAAAGATATTACAAATCGACTACATTTCGATTCCTATGCCTATAATACTAAAAACAATGAAGCTATATATTTTACGCTGCATTCTGCCATCGTTTCTATGACAGCTACCTTTTTTAGGTAACTGCACGAAATAAGCTGCGATCCACTTAATATACAGTGGTACATTGTTATCAGATTTTAATTTAATTAAAACCATAATTCTATAATATTTAAATATTACCAAATCTCAAAGAACAAAAAAAAGTTAAAAACAACAGAGTTATAATTTTTTTGAACTATTTTTCCGATTGTTCCTGTGGGAGCTATATGATATAGTCGCCCGATCCGGCTCGTTCCGACTTATATACCACCGGCATCAGAAAGACAACTTTTGGGAATGTTTCAAGCAGATTTAAGCTTTAAAACTGAGGGACTAGTTTGCGTAGAAAATTGCTCACAATATTATATTTTTCATAATTTTGGGGGCAGAAGGGGAGTGGAAAAATTCTAAGATTCTAAATTCTAAGCACAAAATTGTTGTCCAAATGTAATATTACTAGTTTTAATAATGCACGTAATATAAAATTGTCTATCGTTTTTTCAAATTTTTGGTCAGTTTTCAGAAAAGGCTGACTTGGTGGAACATTTTTGTGGCCAGAGTCGGATTTAGCAATCCATAACACAAATATACCTCAATTAATGTACATTTTTGGTGTAACACACGTCCATAACACAAATATACCTCAATTAATGTACATTTTTGGTGTAACACACGTCCAAGTCTGTCCTGTTCAATACCTGGCCACAAAACCTATAAAAACTAAAAATAGTTATTTTAAATCAATGTTTACAATATTCTATGAAATGAATATATGTATAAGCTAGATGAGTTTTATGGAAATATTATTTAGCTATTAAACTTTCTAATTAACCTTGTGTCTGTTTCCCTTGAATAAAAAAACTCTTTCCATTTTACGAACGAATGACATTTGCGTACAATTTGCAAAATTTTTAGGTTTTTGCTATATAAACGCAATTCTAACAATATTTGTTATCATTTGTATAACTATCATAAAGACGGCACTTGAACAAACCTTGCAGGATGACTCGCCTTTTCGTAAGATTGATTTATTAAATATATCTGTATAACTCTAACTGTAAGACTATCTGGCAGGTTCTAATTCTTCTTCTGTCGTTGCTGACTGATAGTGCTTTTGGATCCATCGATCAGCTAATTCGAAGTATTGCCAGTGCATTTGGTGGAGGTGCTACCGTGGGTATAAATGCTAATGTCCCAAGATCCGGATTTGGTATTAGAACACCCAACAGCGAATTTTCTGTGGGATATGGCTTTGGTCGGTGAGTTCCCCGACTTGTGGTTCAAGCCTTCACCACTTTGTTTTTGACTTTGACCAGGCTGACAAGAACATGAATTGTAAATTAGTATTTGAATTTGATCGTCAATTGTTATGGAAAATATTTACTAAATTGAAATGTATAGCAATAAAAATGGATAAAGGATTGAGTGTGAGAAGCAATCAAAAATAAATAAAGGCATCTGCTTTTTACGGATTTAAGCACATGTAGATGTTTATGTGTTTTGATAAACACCACAATAGGTAAACTAGTCACTATGCGCTCTAGGAATTACTCCATTAAAGTAAAATTAATTTGCATTCTGTTATATCAATCACGTAGGATTTTAAATGTGTTTTGCCTGCCCTTGCTTTTAGTTTAGTTTATTTCGCAAATCTGAATACAACAATTGAAAACCTTTATATATGTTTGCTTTGCTGACATATATAAACCCTTAGCTTTGTAATTATTTACAAAATTTTGTGGAGTAGTAATTAGCATATTTATATTAGAGATTGAGAACATATGACATATAAGATGCGTCGGTGGCCATTTTCATTTTTGGCCACAAAAGCCGCAAGCACGCGCCAAACGTCCAGCTTCCCCGCTCTTTTGTTTAGCTAAAAAACCCCCCCATCCGCGATTCCTTCATCGCTCTGTTCACCCACTTCGTTAGTTATGTAAATGACTTTGTTTCGCCTTCTTCTTTGGCTTCCTAAATAATTATAGCGACAGGCTGGCAACGCCTTTAAATACAGACACACACGTACCATCAGCTCACGCATGTTTCTGCTTTTCGAAAGGCACAGATTTTAACCCTTTGGAAGCATTACCACCCCAAAAACTGGAAGCCTTCGCGTATTTTCTTATGTAGACGCTTATTTACAGCCAGAAAGGGGAAATTTCCCGCTCATCACGCATGAAAATCGCGTTTATGTAAGGGACTTCGTGTCTGTGTATGTACTTTGTCGTTGTCGTGGCTCTCGTGGTTGTGTGTGTATCCTTTCGATTTTATTTTGCGTATCCTAACTCCTCTGTAGCTATTGCCGTGAAAAGATTCCTTGCTGATTCTAAGCGTACAGTTTTAAAGGTTCTATCTGTGTAAAATTGACATATACTCAATAGTCTAATGACTTACTATTTGCCAGATTAACAATCTTATTGAATGATCGCTTCTTGTGAATCTAAAAATATTTACAGATCATAATGCGGGTTTGGGGGTTATAAAATAAAATAATGGTTCGAATTGTGAAATGTTTGTTGATAGATATAGACTGAAAATACTGTTTACCATATAGAACTTGCCTCTACCATATCCCTACCATGTTCCTATTGGATTTTTATACCCTTGCTGAGGGTATTATAATTTTGGTCAAAAGTGTGCAACGCAGTGAAGGAGACATCTCCGACCCTATAAAGTATATATATTCTTGATCAGGATCACCTCCTGAGTTGATAAACGCATGTCCGTCTGCCCGTCTGTCTGTTTCTAAGCAAACTAGTCTCTCAGTTTTAAAGATATCGAATAGAAACTTTGAAGACACCCTTCATTCCTTTGCACGCAGTATATAAGTCGGAACGGCCGGGTTCGGCCGACTATATCCTATAGCTGCCATATAACTGAACGATTGAAAATGCCATAACTTTGGTGCTTATAAGTTATGAAGTTGGGATTTTTTTTGAGTGTTAATAGTGCATCATATGAATAATTTTGGAGAATATAATTTACAGAATATTCTGCAAGGGTATATTCGGCTCCGCCCGAAGTTAGCTTGTTACTGCAATATTCCTAAAATCTTCTGGCACAGCACAAACACATTAATACATCAAGGATGTATTCATTTTGACAGCGCATGTTGAAGTTATTATTAAATTAAAGAAAATTAAATGTAATAAATGTAAATATATGCAGTCACATAAATTACATATGTATGTATTCAAATGCCGGCACTTTCGAACACCCCCACACTGCCACACTCATGACAGCGAGGCTAAAGAATAGCAAATTCGTTCAAAAACTCTGTCGATCGGGAATGATAAATTCACATATAAATTTTCGGTATATCTGCATAGTAATATAATAAAAATAAAATCTCTGTCGGTTAACACTGCTTTTTCCCGCGTCATCCTTTAAGAACTCAAAGCGTCCAGTTTCCCACCCACATTTGCTGTAAGCCAAATTCAAAAATGTAAAAGAAATTAAACCCCAAGGACAGGGTCTCTGTCCATGCAGACTTTACGTATTTTTCTATGTTCTGCTTTGATTAACATTCGTTTATAGGTGGAGGCAGCCACCGTCTTCGTCTGGGGCAAACGACCGAGTGTTTTAATTACTTTTGGGGGTAGTTTTTAAATTCTGCTTTCAATTTTTTCTTTTCGTCGTGCAAAGAAGAAAAAGTCTAAAATTTAACTTGAAGAAAATAATTTTCCTTCCCAGGCATAATATGTGTGTGTATTCATCAATTATTTCGCTGGATTCAACACCCCTGATAGACACTGCCTGAAAACAGCCCGGAATCGTGTCCTATTCAATTACCATTCTGTATTATTTATAATCTGATCGAGGGGCAGAATAAGTAACATTCAATCCGGTTTACTGCTTGGGGTAATATAAATATTTTTCCCCTGTTGACCACATGAAACCGGAAATAACATAATTGACCTCAGGGAATGGCGCAACACCGAAGAAAAGGCGGTATCGCAGAAAATCGCATCAACTGACCAATGCCCTAAGTGATTTGAGTTCATACCTGTTGCGCCGGGTAACGAACAATCAGCAGTGAATAAAGAGGGTCGTCCTGTCCAGCCAGTCCGGCCCCCTCCCCTTGTGAACTTCCCCTCTGGGTCAGTGTCTGGTTGTCCTGGCCAGTGGAATGGTCAGTTTCATGTTTGGCTGTCGCGTGTGTGCTGTGTAAACAATTCAATTACAAGCGCTAAATGCATTTTATGAGCACTCACTCACATTTGCATTTTAAATGAGGACTATTCCCTTGGAGGGGCTTTTTGGTCAGCTTAAGGGTCACACCTTTTATGCATTGACCAGGGGTTACTTTATTGTTATTTAAATAGATTTTAAATTACTGCCTTTTTAACTACTTGAAGGCTTAACAATAAATGACCAGTTAAAGCTAATCAAAAAGCGAATAATGAAAAGTCCTAATATGGTACTTAAGTACTTGAGATGCAATGTTAACGTGTCTGTTCCACTTGTATCGCCTTTTATTTGCACAGCAACTGCATGCATCAGACCAGCCCAGGTTCTCATAAGCCGTGAAAATACGCTTTTATTGCACCCCACTTGACTCGCATTCAGAGCAGTCAAGTGCGAAATAATACTCTACTCCTCCTCTTGACGCAGGGCTGTCGGTTGTCCTGTTGCTGCAGCTACCACTGCGGACTGCATCCTTGCAGCCTAAAAGTCCTTTATTACAGTCAACTGCGAGTCAAACGAAGTGCAACAGTCAACGTGCTTGTGCATATGCATTTCAATGCAAAGTCCTGCCCCCTCCTCGCTCCGCAAGGTGTTGCACATGCGGTGCAGACGCAGCCTAAGGTTGCATTATCCTTTACAAATTGTTGGTTGTGTTGATTTCCCCTTTTTTGTGTTTCAATGGGCTGGCTGCAAGTGCCATTGGCAGGGATGGATCAGGACAGGCGAGGAATGGAGCACGTCATTTTGCAGTTTTCGCACTTCAGTTTTGGACGAGCGAAATGCAACAGGTGGGATTTCTCATTCGAGTGATGTTGCAAACAAGATGATCGTTATTCAAAGCATTATAAATTATACAAGGGTTCTGTTTAGATTACATTATCGTAATTAGTGGTTATTTTGGAAATAAATAAGTACATCTAAGCATCAGAAAATATTAACCGACCATCTTCTCTGCTAAACTCCGGACTACGTTCTCATCGTACTCCTCGATCTCATCGTCTCCATCATCAATGTCGACGTCGTTCGGTCTAACCGGGTAGCCTTGTTCTGGGGGTACGATTTTAACTCCGTGATCACCAAACAAAAGACAATCAAAGTTTCTGAAATTGACCAGAAGATGTTTTATATTTGGTGGCCTCGACTCACACAGACGTAGATCTTACCTCTCAAACAACTCAAACCCCTGAAACTCCCCAGACATGTACATGCAGACGTGCATATTACGCCCGACAAACCAGATATCATGAAACTGGATACAGGCCTTGGCAAAGTTAAAACGTGGCGGCCTGAAGCAGAAAGGAGGTGGATTCTGGCCGGAGACCTTTTGCCGGAACCAAATGTTGTTATTAACCCGCATGCGCAACTCAAAAGAAAACTCATCAGGACGATACGCGACTTCTGTGCAACTGTTCATGCCAATAACCGAAAGGAAACCTAAATAAGATTGAGTTCGTTTCAGATGATATTGCTAAACATTAGGCTAACTTACCGGCACAGCATTTGCACAGCCCAGTGTCACAACTACAGGGTATGCGGTTGACCAGACTACCTAGTGTTACGTTTGGTAAGCTGAGTTGCCTGGACTCTTCCTCGAGACTGAGTAGGTTAAGTCGATGGTTCAGTAAGCCAAGCTGCAAAGCAGCGTCGTACGCCAAATCTTCCGTTGGTGGTTGTATTTGTACTACGAGAATCAAAACCTATTTCGTTTTCAAACATCTATTGACCCGAGATATTTTTATTTATATGTTGCTTAAATGTAATATTCCAATTCTTTGAATGCTTTTTCTTAAATCGAGATTAGTAGCTCAAGTCTGTCAATGTTTTACTGACCAAAGAAAAAGTATAAAAAATATAAACAAACAAATTTTTGCACCATCAGTCACATCGAACTTCCGCGTATTATGTTAAACAGTTCCGCATCAAGCCAACTGACGTAGCCGGCAACCCAAGAGTCACAGCGAGCGTCTAACAGTTTCAACTATTAACCTTGAGTGCAAAAACGAGTTATCTGAACTGAAGATTCGAGCCAAATTTGATGTCAATGAAACCAACGGAACCAACGAGTTCGTTATATTGTGCGTTAAGTGGTCAAGATCATGGACAGCAGAGAGTTTTTGTAGAGAGTCCGAAACAATGTGTATCAATTTCAAAGTCTTTTTAAAAGTGTGTAGTGATACAAATCAGTCTTCCAGTTTTAAAGCTATTAAGATGAAACTTTGCTTAAAGTCTTTTTTCACCTTTTTAAATTATTACATTTTTAAAGTAATATTTCTTAGTTACATAATTATAGTGTCAAAAACCCAATATTTTTATTATTAATACCAAACCAGTTTTTGAAGCGCAATAAATAGTACGAAAAAATATATACATGTAAAATAAATAAAAAACCGTCACACATAATGATACAAAGTAACGTTTTTTATTGTATCATTTAAATAACACAGAGCCTCATAACGATTATCACAATTTGATTTTACAACATAACGTGGATTAGTATTCTGGGAAACCATTTTTCATCAAAATTCGTTATCTTAAGCCTTAAAATATTTACAAGCTTATGAACTATGTATCCATCGAGAGAGCATACAGCTACTTCGTATTCTGTACATTGTTTTACGTAAGGCAAACTTTTACGAAACGATAAAATATCGGCATGGCAAAAGGATTAATAAAGTTAATAACTAAATAGTAGAAGTAAGACATAAAGTAAGAGTTCTTTGTACTACCGGTGTCTGATTTCGAAACGGCTAGGAGTGAGGCAGCACATAGTAAATAGAAGAACAGACGTGGATGTGAGCTGGCCGCTGGCATCTTGGCACGACGATCAGATCAGGAAACGTAATTGAAACGAAGGTTGCTATTGACCCGCTTTGTAGTCGGTGATTTCACACGCTTTTGTCTTTCGGTCGTCTTTAAATATGTTAAAGGTATTTCGTTACTGCGATCGGCTTATTCTTCTGCTTTTCCTTCTTTGTTCAGTACTGTTATTCGTAAACACCAAGTAATAAACTCAACTGAGACACGCAACTTTCGTTTTCGTGCAAAAACCCGACGAAAGTGTGTTAAACATAAACTTCAATTTTAGTTTCTATAAAGTTGAGTTGCGTTTACTAGCATTGATGGGTTTTTTTCACTTGTCGCAGACAAGGCGCAGTCGCAACTCCGTACGTGCTAATGGCCAAAATATAACTGGCCAAGAAAACGGTAGCGCCTGCGCATGCTAAGCGGACCAGCAGACGCCGATCGTTCGACTATTGCCCATCGGCAGCTCCAGCAGCTCGACTCCAACACACGTCGGCCAGGCCAGAGACGGGCCCCAGACGCCGATGACAAGTACGAAGAGCTTCAAAGTCGGCTGCCCTCGCGTCTCTTTAAAAAGACATTTTTATGCTAATGTATGCTTCGAAGGGGTAGTGTTGACTACGCTGACAGCTTGCGATCGAACGTAAATAATATATTTTAAAAACCACCAGCTCAAAACGAGTGGGAAAGTTTTTAATGTGTATTTATATTAGTTGTGTACACCTGATATAAAATCTTGATGGCTTGATTTGATAAGTACTAAAAAATATTTGATTTTTGCGAAGGGTATACGGTGCTTGGTGTTTTATTTCTTTGGTATTATGTTACTGCTTAAACCGAAGAAAAACCAGTATTTTATACATAGTTATCTTCATCAGATTTGGCGATTCGTTGGAGCTCTGTTATAATTTCTCTCAGATCACCTTTATATTTTGCTTGCAGGGAGACTCTCACTTTTCGCTGTCGTGCTTGTTTGGGCGGTGATAGGCGAGGGAATTTATAAAATTTTAATTTACTCGGCACCTTAAATGGTGTTTTGATCTCAAAGTGTGTTTTGAGGCTATTGCACTTAGCAAATTTTGGTTTGAGAGGCTCTCTTTGCAATTATAACACATTGTAGTAGAAATGGAATAAAATTGTATAGAAATGGTAACAATATAATTATCGCACCTTGGCCATTTAATTTGTAGTTTGAAAGTGGATCAATTGCAAAAGCACACTTTCATTGCCTCAAGATATTGTACGACAATTGAAGACTTGTTTACACACCCAATATATTTCAGGTTTACTCTGGCTGTCTACCTAATTCTGTTCTTGCAAACTGGTTTTCCGAATGACTGAGCTGATTTTCGTCATTTCTTTAACATTTTAAATGTTCAGTATTGGTAAAAATCTGATATTTTTTTTACTGGCAATCAACAGATAAGATAGATCTGTTGTCATTGGCTTTAAAAACAACTTCTGAATATGAATTTAATAAATGAAATCTGTACATCGAAAATATATGGTTAAAGAACACACGGTTGACGAACTGGCGCCAACGGAAACCAGATAAAAAGTTCAACAAGTCTTCTAATGTATGATAACCTTTATTGGTACAATCAAAAATGATTTGTGAAGATTAATGCGGCCACCCCGAACGGCAGCTAAGGCATGACAATCAATTTCTTTTGCAAGAAAACTCAGCACGTAAATTATTTGAGCTCAATTTCTTTTCACAATTTTCCACTTTTGGCAGATATGTAAAAAAAAATCCCTGAGAGGGTTCCACTAAAAGTCGTGAGCAAACATTTGACTGTAGCAGGCTCGCTTTATCCGTTGTTGCTATTGTTTGGTAGCATCTTGTGGTCTAATAATAGCATGTTAACTCATAACATGCTATCAATCACTCAAATTTCGTATCTGCTCACTGGTAAGCACGGATACTTTTTGGATGTAAGACTGTAGAACGTGTAGCAGACGCAAAGACGAGCGTCCACTTGATAATTCGCATGTGAAAATTGGAAAATCGCTGCTGGTTGAAGCTGAGTCTGATCCCGAACGAGCGATGCATGTATGATTAGAAAATGAAAGCAGACAAAAATCATTTGTGGCGTCTGGCTGACCGTTAGCAATATACAAGAAAGGAAGAAAAATTCGGCAAGACAAAGTATGTATACCCTTTTCAAAGAAAAAATTAAATTTCTATGACAGCTTTATGACTTATAGCTCATTGATTATTGCTCAACATAATGTGTTGATTTTTATTTTATCCAAATCAAAGTCTCGTCAATTTTAATAAAGTTTTTTTTACTATTACCAAAGGGGTCTAAAAGAATCGTATAAAAAGAATGTATTGCTCTATTTGCACGTTATATTATGCACATACCTTTCCGCTGTTAATGCGAGCACCTCTTTAAAGCATTTTGGCAATGCTTTGTTTTGTTAACTACAGACTGGGAACTGAAAGCCAAGAGCACCCAATTAATGAATCATCTATTGTGTTTCCTGGACTTTTCATAATTGAGATTGCTGCAAGCACTGTTAAAGGAAAGTTTTTCCTTTTTATTTTCTGAGTATTAAGCCAACCTTTTTTAAAGCAATTTTTCAGGATGTCAAGAAGCAGACAAAGTCCCTTTTAGACCCAACATTTTGATATAACGTACCTAAAGTTAAGCCAAATTATTTCAATATTATTTACCTAGCGCCTTGTGCTAGCAGACTACATTTACTCTTAATTTACGTAAATTTTCATTTTTTAAAACGTATATCTTGAGGCTGGGTAATTTTGTATGCTACTTTAACATAGCTGCATGTTTTTTGGCAAAAAAAAATCCACTTGAATTCCTCTTGAACCATCTTTCGTTAGCAATCATTTGGGGGTTATAATTAACCCTTTTGCATGAGCAACATGTAAAAGGTTATTTTGCAATCTCCCTTCACCACTTCATCGCGTATATCTGAGAATAAAAAATATCAACACAACAAGTCGGAAGAACAAAAATTAGTTTTTTTCTTTTTTTTTGCTGAAACTGCCGAAAAATGAAAGAATTGCAATATGCAGCCAAATATTCTCTAAGGACACTTGACTCTCGACTTCTGGTTGCCTTTTGGAGCTGCAGCTAAAAAGAGGGGACGCCACATTGGCTGTTGACAGCTCCCTTGCTTTGCCATGCCGCAGTCATGACCTTTTTGTAAACTCTAGACATTTGGCGGTGCCAATTAATTAAGCGAAATAAAAGCCAAACAAGCTGCACCAAGAGTAGGAAGCATTCATTAGTAGCTCCAGAGGGTGGCAGTAGGAGAGGGTGGTGGGACGGTGTAAGGATTGCACGGATTCTGCAATTCAATTGAAACCCATGCAATTTGTTTTCTTCAAAATGCCGAGCTTTAATTCGCAATTAGTGCAATTCAATCAGCGAAGCGCCGCTCTCGGGGAGATGCGTTCGGGTGTCTGCCATGGCTTGCCACAGAGGTGGACGGTTTGGGGTTATCCACGACTGCTTTTACCACCTGCGGCTTGCGGTGATTACGAGCAACATGAGCATAAAAATTGCTTACGCTTTGTAGACAAAATCTTAGGCACTAGAAGGCGGGCGCCTGCCGATGTCTCGGTTCGGTGGTGTCGTTCATGGAAATCCGAGAACTGGAACTGAGTCTTCATCCGCATCTGCATCTGCGCGCCCGTGATGCTCCGATCTCCAAGCAATCGATGAGCGCGTGTCAAGTCGTGAAATACAAATTTTCAGTCTGATTGCTACTTTCGAGACGTCGAAGTTACTTCTCGCTCCTGCACACATAGAGGTTGTGTCACGCGGCCATCCCTGGGTGAGCCTGAACTTTTGTCGGCGCCTTACAACTTGGTTATGACACATGATGCAGCTGATGGAGGTTGCCGGTCCAGCCGCTATCGACAGTCCTCTGAGGGACAGGAACTGTTGCATAATTTAAATTAAACGACTTACTGCACACAATTTATTGGCATAATCTTTAATTGAACTAAAACAAGCTGGAGGAAGGGACTCGAAACAGACACTTTTAGGTGGTCAGTCTCCTGGCCGGCACCAGGAGATGGTCCTTGCCATCAATTGCTCATGTGCTGGTCGCCTCGTGGCCATTGATCACGACTCCTGTACCAGAAAGGGGCAAATTTTCATCGTTTTATTTCTTTGACTATTTACCCACCGATAAACATTTACTTCTAGATTTAGGATCAGCTACGTACTTTTGGAGAGAATTATTTCAGGGTTTTCAGTTTGCTTGTTCCACAATTTGTATAATGTGATTACATGTGGGCTGAAAATATGGTATTTAAGTTACCAGTCTAGTTGGGTAGGAGTAAGAACAGCTTACTGCGTACCACCTGTTGATCTTCTAGTAGGGGTCATGTCCACGATGGGGCGTCTTGTGAAGCTCTTCCTGTAGCTTGTTAACCTCGACTTTTAATCGCAGAACATAAGTTTTTGGAAACGTTACAGACTGAAGTGTACTTGGTTTGATTTTTATTTCATGAAGATTGCGCATGTCAAATATTCAAACCCATAGGTTGATTACTTTTATCCTTTGAATATAGGGACTCATTTCCATGCGTACTCAGGATGCATTCTTGTTCAGGTCCCGACAATCTGAACGCAGTCACGTCCCACATGATGACGATGAAGTAAGAGCTTGGCAATCACAGATGCAAGAAAACCAATCAACACAACAACCTGCGGAAGGCTTAGGTGGCTGAAGTGCAGTGCAAAACAATCTATCACGTATGAAATTCCCATGAAAAATTTGCACAGGGGCTGCATTGATGATGATGAAGATGCTGGGACGGCAAATACCGAAAACAGGAGCCAAATTGTTGAAGGTGGAATAATAATTTCGTACAACTGAAGAGCTCGTGAGTTACATGCTTGGGGTTTGAAGCGTGGCCAATCGATTCGCCAAACGCAACGCACATGATTGAGCTGCACTAGTTTAAATGCATTTGGACTTATCCGAATGCATTAGGCTGTGGAAGTTCAACCCTAAGTTCAGAACAATTTGCGGCGGAGCTAATAAAATGCTATCGGCACGATCTGCGTTGCTGTGGAAACACGTAGAGACCCAATTTTTTAGCATTTCGCCAGCTACTTGTTACGGGTCAGGCGGGGAGCGAGCTTCATCATCAATTTCGTTCGGGCTTCTCAGTCTCATAATCCCATGTTTGTTTGCATTAGCCACCGCAGACAGGCTGCAATTATGTCGTTTGGGCATTGATGGCAACCGGGACTGTGACTGCGGGTTTCTGACTAGTAAGAGGAGCGCAGCTTCAGTTGCTTTCGGGGGGAAAGCAATCCTCCCAAGTCACTATATCCGTACCCTCACACAAAAGGGAGTGCTTAAGCTTTGATATTGCAATTGGAAAAACAGTGAAGAGGAGACTCAAAACTCTGGCTCTTTTCGATCG